AAATTTTGAGATATGGTAATTTCTCCTTCAGACTAAAGAAGGAATTCAGGCCTGTAGATTTGTTTATTGTTTTGCATCAGTGCCTGCTAATTTGCTTAAGTAACAGGACTGCTGAGTGAGCATGAAAGAACAGTATTCCATCTTGCCTCTTCTCAGCTTGCTAGAGCAACACCACTGGCCCTATTTCATCAGCACAGTCTTTATCATGAGCTTCTCCCCCATCTTTAAAATTGAATATTTTTAAAAAAATCAGAATCATAAAATTTAATTAATGACATCTTCAGCGCTTTGATGGGGTGATTGTAATTAAATATTTGTGTAGCATATGTGTAGATCACTAAGGTCATTAGAATGTTTATAATAACATAACTAGAGATATTAAGATTAAGTGCTGGAAATGCATTGACTGGTGAATAATTAAAGGAAAGCATACAATTTACCCCTTAGAGTAAAGACACATTCCTACCATGTAACTGGTTAATATGTTTAACTCTCATCCACGACACTGATTAGAATGTTATTTTTATAATTTGGGGAAGGAAACTTGCCATCAAGTCTATTCTCTATATTATCTTTCATTTTTAAATAATCATTTTACATTTAATTGTATTTTAAAAATTAATATGTATGATGAATTTTTATTTTATTGAATATGATACTGCTTACATTTAAAGCAATAAACAAGTTTCTTTAAATGAATTTTCTATAAAGATATGTATTTGAAGATAAAAATACTTTGAGAAACCTTATTGATAGCACTGTCAAGATCAGCAGGGAGCAGCTCTGCTGTTTGAAATACTTATCTTGCAAACTGTTATGCTACTTTATGATTATGTCATAAGAATTAACAAAATTTAGTTTTTCTTGTAATTGATGACAAAAGAGAAAAATTAACTTATCCTGAGAATTATATATATTCCTGTTTTTTGAGAATTATGAATATATTCTTATTTAAATATATTTTTATTTAAATTAATTTATAATTTATTATAAAATCATATAATCTATACTATGAAATTACATTAATGAATTTTTGTAAGATTTCTGATTATGTTTTGGTTTGATTATTTATCATTCTAAGTTCTAGGTTTTAAATTTCCTTTTGAAATAAAAGCAAAATGTTAGTTTATGTAAAAACCATCATTTAAAAGAAAATTCTTAAATTCCCTTAAAAATCTACCTACAGCCTACTTTATGTTATATCTGTATTGCTCTCAATGTTATTAACAGTGTTATGTCTCATTACTTGAAAGAACAAACTAATTCTGCCAAAATTATGTCTTCCAGTTACCTAAAGATGCATGTTTGCACAATGATATAGGTAACAATTAATTAAGCAATGTTATAGCACATTATATAGTCATAGCTTTTCAACAGAAATGTTTTTATAATTCAGAATGATTTCTACATTGCAATAACTTAAAATATTTTTATCTTTTTTACATGATATGAGGTGCTCCAGAGTTATTAAAGTGATATGACCATGAACCAACTTCATTTGGGGCAAAAATTATTTTAAAACAAAAATAGAAACACGAAGTTTGGAGAACTATTGTATTCAATACTCTCCATTAATATCCTTTTTCCATTTATTCCTGGGTCTCAGTATTTTGTATATGTGTATATATAATGTATACGTGTATGGGCACATAGTCTTTTAAGAACAAACATTTTCATTGTGTGTACACATTCACATGTGTCGGATTGTCACTGACAGGATTGTTTGCACAGAAGTGATAACAACATGGCATTTACAAGTGATTAATTTTTGTTGGCTCAAATCAGTAGTTTAGTAACATAAAGTGGTTACTCTTACTCAAAAATGCATAATCAGTAAATAGTTTTGGGATTTATCACCTTTTTGACTTGAACTATTCCACTCATTTAATAAAATGGATGGATTATTTCCAGAAATACAAAAATGAAAACCTTTTAAAAAGTCTTATAGTCCTAATCTTTTAGAGCAAATTAAGTTCTTTAAAAGGATGCCTCAGTTCATTGGACTTGCCAGTAACATATTACTTTAAATTTATCATGTTGCTTTCATTTTATTTTTTAAAAGATGATACTTAGTCCATCAAATTAGATCACTTTAAATTCACTTTATACTGCTATGTTGACATTATATGCAAATGAAAGTTTACATGTGTTTTAAACTGCCTTATTTTCAAACTAATCTGTAGTCATACATTTCTCCCATGCTTCCATTATAAGTTATAAACTTTGACTTCAATATAGAATTAAATGAATTGATTCTACACATTATACTTATTTAGATTTAAACCAGGTAAAAGTGTCTAATGTTTAGCATTGTTTCAGTATACTTGAGACTGTCTATAGTGTATAGTCTTTTCATACTATTTTAATGAGCTCTCACAAAACTTCATAAGGGTGTATAATCATTCCTTTTTCATACAAGGGGAAGCAGAGATAAGAAGTTGCCCAACATTATAAAACCAGTCAAAGGTGGGTTGTGGTGAGACCTTTCACACTTCAGACCAAAACCTTTGCATGCCAAGCATCTGGAGGTATTAAAAATAGGTCATCTGTGGTCTCTGTGCTCAAAGAGTTCTAGGCTTTGTAAAAGCAAAGCAAACTCTCAAAAAGCTAAGACTTTATTATTTTAGGCTGCTTATTTAAACCAATGTTAACCACATTTTTAGATAAAAGCATTCTATAGTAACAAAAAGATATAAAAACACATTTTGAACAGGAATCTGCTAATTCATTGGCCATTATTTCTTGATTCTGATATGTATTTTTTTCTGAAAACCTTATCACTGATAAAACTTATTGCTGTCAGTTGTCCTAAATTGCCACATGAAGAATACTGTATTGCTCTATGTATCACTTCTCAATTAGTTTTGTTCATTAATGATTCAAATAAAAAATAATGCAAAGTGTGAAAAAAATTTTTTTTAATTTTAATTTGTTATACATGACAGCAGAATGCATTTCAATTCATAGTACACATATAGAGCACAAATTTTCATTTCTCTAGTTGTACAGAGTAGAGTCACAACATTCATGTCTTCATACATGTACTTAAGGTACTGATGTTCATGTCATTCTACCATTATTCCTACCCCCATACCCAACCCCCTCCCCCCGCCTTTGTCCTATCCAGTGTTCCTCCATTTCTCCCATGCTTACACCTACACCCGTTATGGATCAGCTCCTTTGTATCAGAGAAAAAATTCAGCCTTTGGTTTGGGGGATTGGCTTACTTCATTTAGCATGATATTTAGCATGATATTCTCCAGTTCCATCCATTTGCCTACAAATGCCATGATTTTATTCTCTTTTAATGCTGAGTAATATTCCACTGTGTATATATACCACAGTTTCTTTATCCATTCATCTATTGAAGGACATCTAGATTGGTTCCACAGTTTAGCTATTGTGAATTTTGCTGCTATAAACATTGATGTGACTGTGTCCATGTAGTATACTGTTCTTGGGTATAACCAAGGAGTGGGATAGCCTGATCAAATGGTGGTTCCATTCCAAGTTTTCCAGGGAATCTCCATACTGCTTTCCAAATTGGTTGCACCAATTTTCAGTCCCACTAGTAATATATGAGTGTGCCTTTCTCTCCACATCCTTGCCAACATTTATTGTTGCCATTCTGCATGGAGTGAGATGAAATCTTAGGGTAGTTTTAGAATGCATTTCTCTAATTGCTAGAGATGTTAAACATTTTTTCATATACTTGTTGATTGATTGACAGATATATGAAAAAAATTATACAGGCTATTTTATTAACTCAGTTAAAATTTAAATTTCTAGGATAAAAATTAGAGTGAGAATTAATTAATTTTAGAATGAATATAAGCATTTTTTGTTAATCCTCAAATATTAGAGTCAGCCTTTCAAAAAACTTCTTAAGTTTTTTCTATGTTGTCCTCTGGATTTTAGGCAAGAAAACTTTAGAGATATTTCACCTTTGTTATCAATACATCTAATTCTAGATGTCACACTTCAGCAAAATAAAAAGTACCCAAGTGACAGTAAAACATATACATTTAAAATATATCACAGATTTTCATTTGAGGTTGGTCATATAAAATTATGTGGAAATATTTTTCAAATGCAATAGCAAAACCACAAGACTTTACTATGCTGTATATGTTGGGATAGGTAGGAACAGGGCAGAATGGTTGGGAGGTGCCCTGCAAGGTTAATTGTAATTTTGAAAGTGTTTCTTGATGCTTATCTTGGCTTCCGCATCTCACTGCAGTCTCTTCTTTAAGAACACTGAAAACAATTTTCAAAGAAACTTATAGTCAAAGAAATATGTGTTTCTCTAAACTATGTTTGAATTAATAATTTTAACTGTGATCATCCAATGAGCAAATAAGCCAGAAATTGTGAAAGTTATATTTATTTTATTATTAAATGATTAGAATTTCTCAACACCCTATTACACTTTAGGACATAATAGTTTAGACAAAGAAAGTTTTATTTCACTAAATTTAATATTAATCTCAAAAATAGTAATGTCTGACATTTCTTGGACACTTACTGTGTCAGAGGCTATGTTAAGAACCCTAACCTAAGTTATTATAATTTCATGTTTGCAGGAACACCAGGAGACAGGTACTAGTGAGGGAAGATACAACTTCAGGGACAAATGGCTCTTGGCAAGGCAGATGTGCTTTTGTGCAAACTCTTCTGTGGAGATTGTACACTGAGTTACCTTTCCAGAGCCTATGACCTTTACTGCTATAGTTTGCCATTTCTTATTTTTAAAAAAACTACAGTCTGTGCTGGACATTTCTCTTACAGTAACTGTAGTAATTGTTCATTGTGGTTTAACTAATTGGCTGCTGTTTACTGAGCACCTGCTCTTTGCATTGTTTTGAGAATTTCTTATTCTGTATGTATACGTATATCATATGTGATTATATGAGGGAAAATCTGCTATTAATATTTTTGATATAAGTGAAAATTTAATATTGTGAAATAAATGAAAAATTAACATATTTGATACTTTCCAGTTTATAGATGGTCGACTGGCAAAACTAAATGCAGGAAGGGGTTTCTCTGATGTATTTGAAGAAGAAATCAGTTCAGGTGGCTTTTGTGGAGGTAAAACCTATTTACAATATTATTATCCATTTTTAAAATAACAATTATCTTGTTTTTTGTACTTGAATTTATATGTTCTGTTTCATAAACAACTCTTTTCTTCTATATATACATAATGTCTTAAGTATATTTTTCATCTTATTATATCAATATCAAGTAATTTTGTTTGATATCTGTTATTCAAGGCATTAAGTTTGTCTTCATGAATTGGTAGCTGTTGACTTGGACAATCTCCTAATAATACTGCAAATGAATAATAGAAGTCCAAAAAATATATATCCCTTTGCTTTTCCTCCTAAATAGTTGTCTCCACCAGAAAATAATTGTAGTGGTAATTTCTGAGTATGAATTTAAAAACTGAGATTCGGATTGAAATGGCACATGTAATATAATCTAAAGGGAAATATTTGAACACCATAACTCATTCTGCATTTTTATGTAAGTGTATTATTTTATGGAAGTCTTTTCCTATTTTACTTTGCAGATCACTTCAGCATTAGGAAAAGTATATCATTCCATAAATATAACTAGTTCTACAGCCCTCTGGCGTAGTGTATTTATGGTGTCACGCAAGATTCCCATAAGTATAATTAATTATTCAAATGTAAATATCCAAAAATATAATTATATGGGCAACTAATGATTTATAGATTGATGTTTTGTGCACAGATGTTCTAGTATATAGTTGCAACTTACACAGAATTTTGGTTGAGTCCTTGAAATGTCGCATTTATTCATTCTTTCAGGCAGTATTACTGAGTCCTTACTATGTACTATTCTAGATACCAGGCAAGCAATTTAAGATTTTTTCCCTCTATATCTTGGTGTGTTTGTTTTTAACCTGGTATAATAGCATTTTTTTAACTCTTTGTGGTTATATTTGAAGAAAAAAAGTTTTTAGTCTGCATGAATAAATAGTTGTTAGAATTGAGAAAACATGAAAAGATAAAAAGTCATAAGTATTCATCTATAAATTTAACAAATTTTAATATTATTCTTAAATAAGATTTATTTCCTCACCTTAAAATATAGAAATAATATAAAATTTTTTCATTAAAAGAAATACAAATGAATTTTTCAATTGCAGACCTTTATCTAAGGTATAACATTTTATTGATAGCATTTAGCTTGGGGAAAAAGTTCTATTTGACTTAGTAGGTAAGCTGCATATGGAATCATTCAGCTCCTTGCTTTCCTCAGCTCTTAGGGAAAAATTTAGCTTCAATGGAACTTTTGTGTTAAAATAATGCTGTTTTACTTTTCAACTCAGACAAGCAAAATATTGTCAGCTAATGGACAAATTGCTTGAGGCATCTATTCAGTATTTACATAACTGCTGTCTCATTATCTTTAAGACCCGTGGGGCTAGTAGCTTTTATAGAATTGAAGTTGACATCTTGTGACAGTAATGGGGTAGAACTATGATCCTTTTATACAGTTAAATTCTGTAGTCTGGTTTAACCATTGCTCAAGATACCTCTGTAATAAAGTAGAAATAGATGGCTTTTCTGGTGGAAGAGGATAACTAAGATTTTTTTTAAATTAAAGATTTTATCACTTAAAAAATAATAGGGAAATATGATCACTGGTTATCATCTGACTTAGAGACTGTCACATTGTTAGTTCAACTCAGTTTCAATTGCTTTGTTGTTCTTTAGTACAATTTAGCACAGAATATATTTTTGAGCTTTTATTCTAATTTGAGGGAGCAAATAACCTATCCCAAAGGAAATCCTAGTTCAGCAATTACTCATTTCAGTAAATAAAGAAGTACCTTAAAATAATACCTGTCAAATTTTATTTTTAGTTGTATTTTAGATTCTTTTAGAGATACATGGAGATTATTCTTAGAAAATAAAGCATAATTCACTAGGATTTGAAATAAGAAAAATGACTAATAAAATTAGCAATATTCTTCTAACTACTAATTAGGACATATCTGTCTGTTTGTTTATTTATTTATTTCCAAAAATATTTCTTGGTGGTCTCCTCCAACTGTTGTGTCATCTAATATACTCAGGAGAAGGAAGAGTATATCTGCCATGACATTCACCTGTAAAATGTAAACAGTAATAACTCTCATTTCTCTTACAGTAACTGTAGTAATTGTTCATGTTTATTGAGTACTATTATGTGACAGAAATTCTCATTTTATCCTGACTACACTCTAAGAGGCACTTTGACTAGCCCATTTATATGAAGGCACTCAATTCAGTAATTCTCTCAAAGTCATAGGAAGTAGAGATCAATCTGAACTCGGCACATATCTACCTAGTTTCAAAGCTCTTGCTGTAATGACTATAGCATATCTATGTTTTTATACTAGGAGATATTAATAAGGGAACAGGTTGTAAGCAAAAGTAGCACTTAAGCCCTCTCTTCTCTGAATAAAAGCAAAAGTTCTATCTTTCTGAACATATCTTGAAGACTTGTTTATACATCAAGCACAGAAAAGATCACTATAAGAGAAATCAACATTAACTAAAACCGAAGAACAAAATTAAGTTTCTTTAAGCAAAAATAATTAAGAAAATTTAGGGAAGCATCTATACATCATGACAGTAGTAATTTGTATGCTATTTTTGTTGCTAGTGTTTGTTTTATGATAAAATGATTGTTGAGTATGGTATAATTGTGGTTCTAATTAAAATTATACAAGGCAGTATAATCAGATAGAAAACATTTAGATTCACATTTGAATCTAGAAATATGATTAAAGAATCTGTGAATTCATAGAGATTTTATAAAACCTTTTTCTGTCCCATAAATTTTCATAATCAGGAGTACTAAGCAATTCATGTTATACTTGATTCTTTTCATCACTTTTGCAGAATGTTTAATCTTAATTTATAAGAATAGTGACAACAGATACCAGGAAATATATGAAGGGAAATGTATCCATGGATGTTGAAATATAATATAAAAGGACATGAATATAACAAGACTCAATTAGGTAAACACAGATCATCTCAGAGCCACAGTTTCCTCATTTGACAAGTTATTCATAATAATAACTAACACTCATGGTATTTCTGGGATGTGTTAGATACCCTGCTAAACATCATATCATCATTATCTTTCATACTCACATTAATCCTAAAAGCCATTGACTGTTAAGATGAATGATGAGGCTGAGGGTCACCAAACTAAGGTTCTTTTTCCTGATTAGTCTGTGAAAGCCACTCAAGAAAGTTTGATAGGAATGTTGTTTTGTAAATATATTTTCAGTTAAAATAATACTAGTTCTTAAATCCTCATCAAATAGTCTAAAGTTTAGAAAGGAGAACTATTTTAATGTTGATTTTTATATAGGAGTATGTGGGTACTCTTCATTAGTAGCATGTATTTCCTCATTAGCTTCCTGATATAATCTGGTAAGATCTTTGTTTATTTATTTATTTTTTTACTGACTAAGGTATTAAAGAATTTGATGAGGTAGTAGATATTTATCAGTTTTAGTGGCATTTTTCTGGCCACATAAGCACTTAAGATCAATTTACATATTTTGATAAATAACTACACATTACTGGAATTTGAACAAATACATTTGAAAAAACAGTCTTTGCATAAGTGAAAGCTAAAGATATTTTGTCCTTCAGTATGTCAAAATGAGTTGTTTAATAAGAATGTTAAAATTTTTAAATAAGGCTTGTTAATTGCCTGAAACAGTTAACTTAAAAGAAACATTGATGGATTATTTTTTGCATTCAAATTAATTTTTAAGAAGAAAAGCAGCCTTATTTTTTTTAACATTACCAAAGGATTATGTGCTTGTCTCATAAATTTCATAGAAATAGGAACCTTACTTATATCATAAAACAGTAAAATTTAGGGATACAGTCCTTAAATTTTTTAAAACAGGAATCTACCTAAATTGTTGTCATCTTAACCAGTTTATTTATTCCTAGGGAATTACTGTTTGCCCTCATATGTCATAGTTTTATATTATTCTAGATTTTTTATTTCCCTTTTAAAGCTCTAGCTTGAGCCAGCCCCTCTCCCTTTCTTCTTTTTCTTTTTTCTTTATTTTTGTGGGAGGGGATGGGACTCAACTACTGAGCCTGGTCCCCAGCCCTATTTTGCATTTTATTTAGAGACAGGTTCTCACTGAGTTGCCTTGCTTTTGCTGAGGCTGGCTTTAAACTCATGATCCTCCTGTCTCAGCCTCCAGAGCTGCTGGGATTACAGGCGTGCACCATTGCACCCAGCATCCCTTTCTAATGTAATTGCTTTGGAGGTGATATAGAGAAACCTCTGTATAACTTAAATGTTCTGATATTTTACTAAGTAGTCTTAGAGATAGTATTTCAGAGTTGAAAGAATAATGAACCAGGAATTAAAATGCCTAGATTATTCTTTCTTGGTTGTTAGACTTCCAAATTTGGGCAAAGAATGTATCATCTCAGAACCACAGCTTCCTTATTTGTAAACTTATTAATAATAATTAATAATAACTAACATTTATGGTGGTTCTGTGATGTATTAGGTACCCTACTAAATATCATATAATAATTATCTTTCATTCTTATATACATTAATCCTAAAAGGCAATGATAGACTTTGACGAATAAGGAGGGTGAGGCTCTGCTATTAAGAACCTAGTTCCATATCACATGGTTTGCAGAGTGGATCTGGACTACAAAGGTCTGTTGCACACCAAATGCTGCTTCCTTCCCATCCAGCTATGTTGCCTATGGCATTGCCTGCTTTGCCTGTTTTATAGTAGAAAGGTTCAGATCAAATAACATAATGTAGATAAAAACATCTGTGACCTGTGGAGAGCTCAGTAGGAACTTTTTTTAAATCTTACAATCCTAAATAAGACACTAACCTTTCTATAACAGATCCATTGTCTTATCATAGCTATTTTCTTTGTGTTTGAGTATCCAAAAATGCTGAAATATTATATTATTGGCATTTCTCTGATTTCTTAAATTCATTTTAGGAAAATAATTAAATACTTTACAGAATAACTGTAAATAACATCTAAATATTAAATTCATGATTTTGACTCAATCATTTTTAATAATAAAGAAGTAAAAAATATATGAACTGATGAGACTTTTTAATAAACGAGTGAATAATCTGGATGAATAAAAATATACACTTAATTTTATCATTAATAAAAATCTCCTTGAGAAATAAACTTATAGGATAACTTGGAACTTGTTATTTTACAATGGAAAGTACATATTAAAAAATTTGGACAAGCCAAGACCTCTTAAAGCTTACCCTTTAAACTTATTTTACATAAATTATTTTAGGTAGATAGATTTTTGTGTAGAAATTTATAAAATTTTTTTAAAAAATAGTATTTCTCTCTAGATTATTTTCTCCAAAAAAGGCATAATGCAGGGTGGAGTGGTAAGAGATGTTTATCAGAATAAAAGTGATTTCTTGATACTTCTTTAAATTAGGAAAAGATTTTAAGTCTAAGAGTGAATCCAGAGCACAATGCTTTGCCTGATGTTTATTAGGGTTACAAAGAATAACAGGAAAGAAATTCTTAGGCTGGGATCATTCTGCTTCTGTTTTTGTAACAGCAAGGTGGTACTTCTCCTCCCCACCTCTCTAAGCCACAACCACAAACAAAGGAACACCATTTTTAGAAGTTACTTGCACCTGGTTATTGACAGGGTAACCACTGGCACTTTGATTTTTTGTTTATTTTAGAAGAAAGTTACTGGGAATTGAGCACAAGGATACACTACCCCTAAGCTACATTCCCAGCCCTTTCTACTGCTTATGTTGGTATAGGGTCTTGCTAAATTGCCCAGGTTGGCTTTGAACTTGCCATCCTCCTGCCTTAACCTCCTGAGTCTGAGATTGCAGGTGTACCACTGCCACTTCACCTAGTAACACTTTGATTTTTATTGTGATTTTTCACCCTTCTTTAGAGAATATTTAAACATTTATACTAACAAGGAAGTAGTTGAAATCAGTTGATATGAAAGATTAGGCTAGTAATATGGATTACTTTTTTGCCTTTGAATCTCATTTTATTGGCCAAATTATTTACCGTATTTCAAAGTCAGTCAGTTCCAAATTGTATTAGAACTAGTTTTTGTCAGCATTTGAGCTTTGTAATAATAATAACCAGGTACACTGTAGCTTAAAAGCTACATTTTCTTTACATTTCCTTGGGTAGGTAATACCTTTCAAATTTATAGATTTGTAACCAGAGAATATGCTCAGAACTAAAACTGTAGTTTAATTGCATTAAAATAAAGTTAATTAATGTGTTAATAATTAATAACCACAGAATAAATTTGTTGTACCTGAGATTCTTTCAGCTCCAAATTTCCTTCTGATTTTTTCACACTTCTCTATGCAATTGAGTGGCATTTTAAGTAAAATTATGTAAAAAAGGCCAACTTTTACAAAACAGCAGAGACATAAAACATTGAAAATTAAGTTTAAAAAAACAGAAATTTTGAATTTGAAAAGAGGTGAGATATTCCCTCTGAAGCCAATATGAAAATAAAAGAATAGATAATAATATATTATTTTCATATGTCAATGAAAAAGTGTCCATTTTTAAGTGCTAATTATAAAAATTAAAGCATTAATTCTCATTGTGCCATTGCATCTTTTACAACATTGTAAGTAAAATTTGCCTACTAAGATGCTAGAAATGCTAGTTATTGATGAATTTTAATTTATAAATTTTTATTTTTGATTCCTGATATCAGATTTTCTATATTCCAGGAAACCCAAGGTCATATCAACAGTGGGTACATACAGTAAAGGTAATACTATGCTTTCAAAGTTTTTTCTTTCACTGTGATATGAAGAAATCAGTAAAAGTATGCTGTTTATACTTTGCTACTTATTTATAATATTTGAAATGTGTGCAAATTTTCTCAGTGTACATATTCTTATTTTATGCTTATCGTTTGTTGATATTCATAAATATAATTTTAAATTTGAAAGTTTCTGTTTAGAGATAAATGACATATTTTGTAAAGCAATATTTTCTTGTCACTTTATACTATATTCCAGATAAGGAACTAGTTGGAATAGTCAGATTTCATGGAACTTTAGTAACTTCTTGATAACGTAGTTTTGTTAATATGACTTTTTATAAAATCTCTCTTCTATTGATTAAACTTTACTACCCAATATTAAAACAGCTGATAAATATTTTATTCCCTTTTTATTAAGTTTTAAATATGTAGGTTTTACTACCTATGTTACTTGTCTGCAACTTCAAAGATAAAATGTCTTTTACCATTTTGTGTATCACTGAAGGTCTCCTACCATTTCCATATGCTTTCCCTTCTCTCTCCCTTTCTCTCCCCCCATTCGTCTTAGTTTACTGTTAGTCTTTTCCTCATGCTCTTCCTTCCGGAGGGGGGAAAAAAAAGGGAGAGAATTGAACAACAGCAGAGGAGGTAGAGAGGGAAGATGGGAGGGGAGGGGAGGAGAGGGGGGATAGTAGGGATAGGAAAGGTAGCAGAATACAATAGTCACTAATATGCCATTATGTAAAAATGTGAGTATGTAACAGAAGTGAGTCTGCAATATGTATTTGGAGAGTTCAAAACCCAATTGAGTCAAATGTATGAAAGATGATATATCATGAGCTCTGTAATGTTTTGAACAATCAATAAAAAAATGAAAATAAAATAAAATAAAATGTCTTTTAAATGATGTGTAATATACCAACTAAAAGAACAGAATCAAATGTTTATAGTTATTGTAGTATTTTAAAACATTAAAAAATAATTTTAAAAGGTATTTACTTGTGAGTAAAATTATTTTTGTATACTACTAATAATACTTTGTTTTCAGAACAGTTTGCCAAAAGTTTTTGGAAACATTTCTTTATTTTGCAGAAAGGAGGTGCACTGTTCAACACAGCAATGACCAAAGCAACGCCTGCAGTACGGACAGCTTATAAATTTGTAAGTGTTCTTATGGTATTTAATAATTTTGTTGAGAGATTTATATACTCTCTAGAAGATACACATATGAATTCAAAATATTTTTCAATAAGCTTTAAAAAACTTTAAAATTAATATTGACCAACACAAATTCAGCTAAAAAGTAATCGTATTGTATAGAAAGAGCATTTCCTTTAAATAATCTAAAAATGGTTCTTCATTTTATTTCAAAGCTACCGGCACAATTGTGCAGCACATTAAAACGGTCCATGAGGAGGTATCGTTTTATAAATTTGATTCTTTCATTCATTTTAAATTCTCATTGTGCATTTGAGGCAGAAGTAGAAAAATGTGGCAATATCTCTTCTCTCAAAGATTCATTGACTCCCCAAAATTAAAATTCTTCATTAATTCTCCATGGCATGTAGTAAATTACAATAACCACAGTAACAATGAACAAATAATAAATTTTAAATCTCTTTAAATATGATAATTAAGACCTTGCATTACCTGTTCCTTCCTGTATTCTGTTCTGTTTTCCCTGATTCTTCTGAAACTTTCATATGTCTGAACATACTTAGCAACGCCTTATTTTTTTAATGCAAGATATTTTCTTCTGCCCTTCTATTCTTGTTCAAGAAGAAGATGTCCTACTACTTAGAACATCCATTTCTTGGTCTTTATCCATCTAATAAACCACCGGTTCATCTGTTAATGTCCCTTGGAAAAAAGTTTTCCCAATCCCATGCCAAAAAAACAAACAAACAAACAACAACAACAACAATAAAAAAACAGCTAAGTTTATAGAACTATTTCTATGGTTCCATTTGAACTGTAGGAACTTGCTTCAGCACTTTCTGTGTCTTCATATATGTTTATCTCTACACTAGACCAGTAGCTTCTCTAGGGATTATCTAGTGGTAGTGAAGTTTTTTGTTTGTTTGTTTGTTTGTTTGTTTTAAGTTCAATAGGTCACATATATTCTGTATTTCTAAATATATTCAGGGTAGTAATTGTGATATTATAAAAATTTATCTTCAAGTGCTATGATAGAAATAATAATAAAATAATATATTTTAATGTTTAGAATTTATGTTCTTTTCTTACATGCAATTGCAATATAAACGTAGTTACTTTTCTGATTGAAAAAAATCTGTTTCAAAGATTGCATTTTTTTTTGGTAGGGAAGCTAATCTACAGAGTTGATTCAAAAATAAAGTTCTAACATTCTGAACTATTTGAATCCATTTCATAAAGCATTAAATGAAAAGAAGTCATCAGTTTGCCTTAGAAAGTTCAGCCTCTGCCTTTTGTTTGGTTTCCTCATGACTTTGCTATTCTAGGAGATCACTGCCTCTAATGGGCTGATTTAAGTTGCTTTTGAAGGGAAATTTTTCACAATGAAATAGCACACAGCTACCAAGTGAAAAAAAAAAAAAACTAATATCAAGCCTTGTTTTTCACACACACAAATTCTAGATGCTAGGAAAGTTTTTGCAGTTAGTAGGCCCTCGTTTTATTCCTGGAGCAAGCCTAGAGAGCTTGTATAGTTTTGCCAAATGTGTGCTTTCCTCCTGAATTTCACTCTTATCTTTTATAAAACAAACATGTTCAGACTCATTCATTATTTAAAATTTGATCCTTCTAGTCAGTAGAATGTTTTCTTTTGAACACTTTTCTGCAAGGCAATGAAATCTTTTCAAATTAAGAATTCTGCTCTTTGGAGAATTATTCCCTAAATCAATTTCAACAAATTATGGTATTTAGAATATAATTAATAACTTTTTATCATTTAGCTTGTATCATATCAGACATGAATCAAAAGGTTTGAGGCAGGTTAATTAGTTATTTTGTGACCTTCATAATTTTACCTAAAACTGATCTCTCCAGATTGCTCATGTTCTAAAAAATATGTGCACTAAAATTCCTTCTTTGACTATAAATTGCTATGAATACTACTTCTAATTTCTTTATGTGGGTATAACAGAAGTTATTTATTTTCTACAAGTGGCAAATTTTTAAGCAGCAGAGGCCATGTTTTTGCCTCTGTTTTATACACTAAACACATTATTTGAATAACTGTCAGGAACTGGGCCTCATTCTCATCATGGAGTTAGCTTAGCATATAAAGTACTATAAGTAATAGAGATGATATTCCTGATGTTATATTGATATTGGCATCATTTCACCCTGTGTTTTGAACATACTACTGAAGTACTGGATATGTATTTGTTGAAGTAAATAATGATTTTGTGCTGTACTTATAATATTTTTTCTATACTTATTTCTATGCTAGAAAGTTTTTTTCTCTGATTTCTGTACTTTTTCATATTAAAAGGGCCCATAAAGCAAACAAGAGATGGAACACACATTCTCATAATTTAAGAATTATAGCAAAGTGAACTATATATTTGATTTGACTAAAAGATTTTCTAATTCATCTTTTCATTAGATCCTTGCATTAGTCAAAGCCATTTGTTTGGTGCGTTTCTATAGTGAATAGTTGCTGACATTGTTGAATGTCAGCTTGGTGAATTGAAAAGGATAGAAAGAATCTGCTCCATCTTCTAGGTAGTATGAAGGAAACCTAATGAGTAGGCAGGGTTGTATACATTTAAATTAATCAGTGCACAAATTGCAGAACTACGGAAGAGATTAATACTAGCTTCAACTTGATACAGGAGAACCTGGAAAGATAAGTATGATCAGGTGGATTAGAGGATGTCTAAATAAACCAGAATATAGTTCAAATGCAGTAAAAGCAAAGATGGGTACAAACTCTTAAGAGATGGGAACAAAAGCATTTTTCCTTGGTAATTACATATTCTTACCAATGAAATATAGGAATTAATATAGGACCTCTTAAATAGATTAGGTAGCTTTATGAATGAAGAATGTGAAAGTGCTATTTATCAATTCTAACTAAGAATAGGATATAATTTAGAGTTATTGGCTTTTTGGATTACTTTTACTATGTAGTATGTTTTAGTTTGCTTCATTTACAATGAAGAATCAATTGTTTTATTCAGTTCAAGATATTCCTTATGGTATGCCAAATACTCTACTGATTACTACAGATATTAACAGGAAGGAAATAAGATCCTTCTCTGCAAAGAAATTGGGAAAGTCGTGTGTTTATTTTTTCTAAAAGCACCTTGAGAGATCAGGATGGGTTAAGTGGAGCATGGCCTTTGTAGTTGAAGTCTTCAGCATGTGTGTCTTCAGTTTCTGTCTATACAGTGAGGTTCACAATGCCTTCTTTTGGTGAGATTTAAATTCAGTGATTATATTTTTTATAACTTTACTTCCTTCTTTGAGAAGTTGGACTCTATAATTTTAATATAAGCTAAAAGAAGAGAAGTTAGACTTTATAATTAAATAGATTGAGATTTGAATCTTGGCTTATTATTCCTGAGTCACTTTCCTTATTTGTTAGATATGATAACATTCATGCTGAACTTTAGAAATCTGGTAGATCCCCCTTGTGTTTTTTATAGGTTACCAGACAAAATAGACTAAATGTTAGCCTTTGTGTGATTTGTGGAAATATTAAATACAGCCTAATTATGATTTAATCTAGGTATAATGAAATAGTGAATGATGGTGTCCTGGAAAATAGTTTTAGGTTATAATCAGCTCCTTTTCTAAATAATGCAAACAGTAATTTTCTTTAAATGTGATCATGTGTACTTATTTTTAAAGTGTTAATAGAACTATGCTGAACCAGACACATTCATTATCATTTTCCTAGGCAAAAAACCACGCAAAGCTGGGATTGAAGGAAGTGAAGAGTAAACTGAAGCACAAGGTGCGTGGTGTTGTTTCCTTCTCCCCTCACTGTTGTCTTCATCTGAAGCTTATATGTTTACAAATCACATGAGACTTATGTTTTTAATGACTTTTGAAATATGCTTATCCCTTTGTTCAAAAATGTATTTTTCATAACAAGCCCTCTGGCAACTCTCTGCCATTCTATATGCATACACTGAACAATCTCTTTATTGTTTGCATATTTTATCACAGAACTGTGGAGATCTTCAAAGATGATTAACTGGATGTATGTTTTCATAAAGTTGATTGCCTTGATATTACAATTGAAGTTTTTGCTTCATGCTGAGAATTTTTTTTTTTTAAAAAAAGATACCTTTGAAATAGAATTAATTCAGAAATGCCATTGTTTGGTTTAGAGGCTCTTTCCAAAACAGTTACTTTAAATTGAAGAATATTATTCTTAATTTTGTATATGTGGATTTATATTTAAATTTATGATATTGCAGGTATTTGAATAATTATGTCAGTATATGTGTATTTTGTTTGATTATACATTATATTATGATAGATTTTATTATAAATTGTTACAGTTTTTACTTTCACCTTTCAAGAAAGCATAATAATTGAAATTTTCAGAGTAGATCAGATTATTCAAGAGTTCATTATGAAAATTAATCACATTTTAGAAGAATGTATTTGTTCCTAAATAGACAATTTAAATTTTATAGTTGAAGTGTTTTTTATTGTATGCATGTGTATCAGATACTAAGTCTATTAATCAAATAACTTTGGTAATAGAATAAATATGCTAAAATAATTCCTTGCTCATTTTTTCATATATAGGAAAATGAGGAAGACTACGGGACCTGTTCTGGTTCGGTACAATATACACCAGTTTACACTTTACACAGTGAAAAGGGAGGAAACATAGAAAAGCGTAAGCTTGCCCAGGTAAGGTCATTTACCCTGTTGGCTCCATGTTCTAAAATTACATAATTTTAGTGTATTCTTTAAGGACAGTTTTGGACCCAATAATTTTTTGTCTCATGATAAGAAAACCTGCAGTATTGTCGAGGAAATGATAGTGGATTCTGGTTATGAGATTAAGAACCAGATGTCCCAGCCATCAGTTTCTATATATAGGTTGAGCATACCTAATCTGAAATCCACAACCAAAACTGAGCACTCAAAACACAGGTGCACTATAATATTTATAAAAAAACACTGAATAAAATTATCTTCAGGCTATATAAAATATATATGAAACACAAACGCATTTTGCATTTAGACTTGGGCCCCATTCCCAAGATCTCATGTAGATGCAAATATTCTAAAATCCTAAAACTCCCAAATCTAAAACATTTCTGGTCCTGAGCATTCCAGATAAGGGATGCTCAGCCTGTACTTCATCATGTCATCACAGAGCTCATAATCCAGTGGGGTGAAACAAATATTTGATTTCCATAGAGTATGAACACCGTGATGATGAACAAAAAATCAAAGAAAACTCATATATAGACATTTGTTTACTAAAACAGTCTGTGAAAACCTCTGTAGAAGCTGCTCAACTTACAATGGAGTTAGTCCTGATATAAACCCACCCTAAGCTGAAATATCATAATTGAAAGTGATTTTATACACCTAATTTACCAAACCTTTACCTTATCAGCACAGTATACTGTGGAGTTGTTTGCCTTAGTGACTGCATGGCTGACTGGGAGCTGTGGCTTACTGCCATGTCCAGAGTTGAGAGAGGGTGTCGCATCACATATGACTTGCCTGGCAATAATCCACAGCTTGCAGTATGGTTTCTTGTAGAAACATGTTGCTTTTTCTTATCATTATAAACTCAAAAATTGTTTAAGTTGAACCATTGTAAATTGGGGGCTCTCTGTATATCTATCACTTTTCAGAGGTAGATATTGTATTTGCTAGGAATATTTTAAGCTTCTGCCTCTATGCTAATGCCACTTAAAAGACAGTGGTAAAGCTTTCTGAATTATAGCATTGTTTGCCTCTCATTTAGTATCAAAAGTATATTTCTATAGGTTTTTAACCAAGGAAAATTTGTATCCATCAAATTATATTTTAAATGCTGTTAGAAAACAGTGTTTAAAACAGAATTCTTGAATGGATATATAAATTACAAAAATAAAGAACTAGAGAGTAGCTACAAAGCTTATTACAGCCACCAAAGTTTATAAGCAGAAGTTGATGGCTAGAATGGTCCCATCACAAGACAATTTGCCTTAAGCTTCATAACTATTCAGTGGCAGAGGAGGTATAGAAATTTGTTTCTAATGCTTAATTAGCTTTCTGGGATAGCTGGATACCTAAGATTATAGATGGCCATAAAATGCATATATGTCTTTGTGTAAGTCTATTTTGTGCTGCTATAACAGAATACCTGAGACTGGATAGTTTATAAAGAACAGAGCTTTATTGCTCATCTTTCTGAAGGCTGGGAAGTTCAGGGCAAAGGCATGAGCATTTGGTAAGGCCATTATGTAGTGTCATCAAGGGGCAGAAGGGAAAGTAGAGGGCAAAAAAGAACAAGATGGCCAAACTGGCACCAGTACCACTTCTGAGGGTGAGCCCTCCTAATCTAATTGATTCTTAAAGGTCCCATTGTTACACTGCAGTTAAATTTAACATGACTTTTGGAGGGAACAAACATTCAAACCATAGCAGTATTTGAATGGGAAAAGGCCAGTAAAGCTGTACTAACATCCTAGACATTTGTAAAGAAAACCCATTCATTTGATAGTTCAACACCTACTGTGTGTTAGGCACTTTTCTAGATACAAAGTATGTATATAGAAGGAAAACTTAAAACTTCTGTTTTCATGGGACTATTCTGTAACATGTTAAGTAGTTTCTCTTCATTTTCTACTTATTAAACCGATATCTATATCTAGTTACATTACTATATCTAGTTATATTACTCTGAAATGATTAGAATTGCTTAATTGCAGCATATTGTTAGTGCTTGTGAGCTAAATAAGCCCTTCAATAAAGCCCTTTATACCTATAGAAGCTTTTGTGGTCACTATTAACTGAAAAACATTAACTTGTAAATTAGTGATGTGTTTGCTATTGGTATTTCTGATTCTACTCTCCTCACAAGTATGTTCAATTCTTGTCTGTTTTCAACCCTTAATATCTTAAAAAAAACTTTGTAGAACAATTTACTGGCTTAATAATGGGACATTTAGATCATAATTACCATGGCAAAAAAGATTATTATATGAAAAAATATGAGATCTTTTTTACCTATAGGATGCTTGAAGATGAAAACAAAATATGCAAATTAAAGAAACTCTTAAATGTCAGTTTTAAGTTAAACTATTGTCAGGTTTTTGTATTTAAAAATATTCCTTTCTTTTAACATAGCATAACATGTCTAATATAATTTAGTTATAAAATCGATTTTTTAAATTTCTGGTTTTGTTTTCTGCTAATTCCTAGAGACAAATTTTTCTTCTTATTGTGTACACTTAAAGTCTACAAAGATATTTTGATATACATGATAAAATGTTTACTCAAGATAATTAACATATCCATCACCCTCCCAAGTTACCTTTAGTGTAGTGAGGGCACCTAAAAGCTACTTCCTTAGCAGATTTCCAATATAGAATACAATATTAACAATTCTGATCAATACACAGTACATTCTGATCAAAAAAGTATATTAGGTCATAGAAAACCCTACATGATGACAGGTCCCATTCATTGTATGAATCTTCAGGCTGTCATTTGTTATCACATCACTAAGTTACTGGTGTTTGTTAGTTAGCATTATATGGGTTCTCAAGAAGATGTGACAGAAGTGATGGCTATAAAAAGAATTGAGAAGTAGGGCTTATTCTTTTATGAATTCTATTGTTATATCATGTGCATGTATGACTTTAACAACAAATTTCTCCAGCTGTCCCCTCTCTATTTCTTTGCTCAACATGCAAATAGTGTATTCTAAATTTATTTCTGCTTGTAACCTTTTTTGCTTGTGGAAGTGGCTCAGTTGTCATGTGAGAATTAAGGCAAGAGAACATTAAGGTAGGCTGACCTTAAACTTACCTTCAGATAGGTACAAAGATCCAGCTTCTAGGAACTTAACAATATGGATTTTTTTGTTTGTTTGTTTGTTTGCGTTTTGGCAAATAGCTTTATAAAGCAATTATAAATAATAGACATTTTATGAAATACCGTCATAGTAGTGAAATTCCCTTCTCTGAGAATTGCTTCCCCAGATCACCCTACTCACTCCTACCACCTCCCACTGACCCTGATAACACGGTCTCTTTCTGTTTTCTCTGGCTGGAGTTTATTGAACCAAGGATTAATGCTGGGTCCAAGTGGACTGATTACATCCTTCCATAAGGAATTGGATTCTGGAATTCCTCTCCATTTCAAGTAGTAGCTGCTTCAACTGAGGACTAGCAAGATTTAAACCAGGGCACAGAGAAGCAAAGAAACCAGTATACAGAATGCACAATGTATACAGAATGCACAATGAACATAAAACAGACCAGGTGCTGCAGGGGCAGGTGAAGGGAAGCTGACATTCTTCCCTGACTGTTCTTTCAATTTCCTGTTTCCATTTCTATCACAGGCCTATGTATATTCTTTAACTTAGATATTGAAGGAATACCCATATCATTGGATCACAAATGTCCTGATACTGTTTTTTTTTTCATTTGTGCAAATTTGCTAAACACTAAAAAAATAAATAAATATTTCAAATAAAGGATTAGGACAATTTCAATTTGAATACACCATGTTCTGCTTTTAGAAATAAGCCTCTGGCCACAAACAAGCTATCATTTCAGAGTAGTATAACTCATCTCAAATAAGTAAAATTAGCATTATTAGAAAGCATGAATTCTGGGAGACTTGGGGGAAAAAATTAAGATGGAAAGTAAAAATGAAAGAATTGCTCCAAGATGAATTTTTGGCAAATAGTCTTATAAAGCAATTATAAATGATAGACATTTTATGAGATACGGTTACAGCTCTTAAAACCCTTCTCTGAGATTACTTCTCCTATCACCCTACTCACTCTTATTACCTCCCAGTGCCCTGATACCATGGTACTCTCTCTTGTTTCTCTGGCCACAAATTTAACTCTTTGATAAGGATATACATGAATCTAAAATCAAACTTCAGTGATAGAAAAAATATAAATAAAACAAATTTAAATAAAAAAAATATCAGGACACAAATGTTTGGGCATATGAATATATTTAGCTATTGAAATAAAGACTCTTGGATATAGGAATAAACTGATAATGGGAAATATACTGGGTAAACAGGCTTCTTGAAACTAGATACTTATCACTTAAAATGTAAAGATTTTCTAGACACTCTTAATTCCTGCATCATAATTACAAATAGATGAAGAAATTCCTATATAGTAATTAGAATTCTTTTTTTCTTGCAATGGTGAATGACATTGTTTCATGGTTTATGATTTGGCTTTTTGTTTGTCTCCATATTTTTATTGATGTATTTTAGTTGTACATAATGGTGAAATTTGTTGTTAAAGTCATACATGCACATGATATAACAATAGAGACAAAGTCCTAGCCCTGGACTTACTTAGCTCTCACTGAACTTTGAATCACTTGAAAAAATAAAAACTACAATTGAAAATACACTTAAAATATATTTTTTTCTTCCTTCTATAAGGCTGTCTAGCAGAATAATATCACTTTCTTGTGTTAGAACTGGCCTCTGAGTTACATGTCCAAAGGAGGGATGCTCCAGTTCCTGTCTATTTAATTCATCAAATAACCAAATTATCTTAAAAGATACGTCATGTGCTAAATTTAATGACTTAAAAGCAAGATTCTGCAGGGAATTTTAGGATTTGGTGATTCGAATAATATTCCTTTTCTTAATTTCTTTTCGATTCCTCTGTTTTTTTAGAGTTGAAATCATAAAAGAGGGCA